TTATTTCATAGATTTGGTAATAAGTTGGTATTCTTGTTTTACAGAGGTGGCTTTGCCCTGTGGCTGGATGCTGATTTGTACCATGGAGCAAGTTTTTCCTGCCCTACTTTTCACAACGCACCTCTGTCCACACATGAAGACTTCATTGTACAAGACATTGAAGTCTGGACTGTCCTGAACTGAACAACCCTCTTCTTTTGTCTGCTCCCTTTATCAGGGCTCGCCACAGAGAGCTAACTCACAGTGCAGATCTGGCAGTTGGTTTTTAATGTCGGATGTCCTTCCTGACACAACCACTGACCACCATGCTACCACAGCCCACATGTGTGGAGGCCACCATCATGGGCACCTGGGGGAACAGTCCCCGCTCAAGGGCAAAGAGTGGAGCAAAGGAGGGCGGAAGAAGGTGTGGGTGCTTTATCTTCTTTTCCACCCACAGTTGTAATGCAATACTTTTGAGATTTGATCCGACCATCCATTGCTGACCTTCTCTAACCTCTGCGCCATCACTCCATTGAAACTGTCCTTTCTGGAGTCGCTAACATCCAAAAACTGTTTGCAGTTTAGCCACTGCTTTATCCCGTCGTGTCTGCTGTTATTTCCTGCAGATTAGTCCTCGTACAGCACCGAGCCTTTTGAACCGGACCGGGACTGTTGCTTGGTTGAGCTGTGACTGTTAGAAACACGAGGCCACAAAAAGTCCTGTGATTCAGGTTCCTGCTGCTCTGAACACTACTGGACTCTGGGACTGAGGTGATTGTGTTGTAGTTTGATTATGAAGAGAATTATGACACAACATTCACTAATTATAGTTATGTCATTATGACACAACTATCACTGCAGTTTCTGCATCTGTAAAAGATGCAGAAACTATAAGCTCCTTTCAGGTGTAAACATTTGATTCAGTTGTATTTATTGTGAAACAGGCAGAAATATTTGTGAAAATGAGACCATTTTTAAGACTTTTATCCAAACCAAACCATAAGAGGTTTGGTTTGGATTCTAACTCCATTTAAAAACTACATCTGTGAGTGAACACCTAAACAAGAGAAACAAAGCAGAAGTTTACAGTTAACAGTTTTCTGTAAAATGGGAGATGAGGAAGTGACCATGGTTATTAACGGTCTGCTCTGTTTTGTGTAAATGGATTTGCGTGTCAGTTTGTAATTGTTTTAAAAAAACAAAAACGTTTGTTTTTTTTATGTTTTTTTTTCATTTTATGTTTGTTAAAAGAGTTAAAGGAAATTTTGTAACTGATTAACTGAATATTAGATGCAGTAGAATAAGAGTTTGCGTGTGTGTGTTATCATGTGTTCTTTCTTTTAGCCTAAACAAAAATGAGTTACGTTCTATGTCTGATGTAAAAGGTAACACCTCCAGGGGTGTAACCAGGAAGAGAAATACATTATAAGCTCTGTTCATTATTAAAGTAAAAAGAAGTTGTCAGAGTGTTACAGAGTCTCTGCTCAGAGCAGGGCAGCTGTGATTTGTTTTGTTCCAGCCCAAGGCCTTATGGTGAGGCCTGTGCTGCAGTTGCTGTATGAACCTGATTGGAGTGAAAAGATTGATAATAAAGTTTTAAGAAGATTCCAGTGGATTACTGTTTATTCGGTCGTGTCATTTTGAACAACACAGTTTTTCCTACTCTATAAGATTTAAATTGTCCAAAAACTGAAACAAACGAGTCAATCAAATATGTTTTGTCTTTAATTTTCTTGTGTTTTTCTTACTTTTTTTGTAAATCAGATTTTCCAGTGCTGGCGCTGCCATTGTTTATGTTGTAGAACAATAAAAAAATGGAAAATCATCTCTTTTTTTGTTTGTGATTCGCATAATTGAAATTTTAATATTCATAGCATTCGGATATTTTATTTCTACAAATTTAGAGAACAAATTTAAGTGTTTTGAATTCATTTAAAAAATAAATATTTAAATTTAAATATATTTAACAAATAACCACTAAAGCCTGTGTTGTTTACAGAACTCAGAGCTTACAAGGACACCAGTGGTTCTGTTTAATAATCTGACACCAAATAAAGTCTGGTGAAAACTTAATTTCTCCTTGAATACAAAAAATAAAATTAACTGATGTTTCACTGAGTTAAAAAAACAACAGCAAAAACTTATAAGGTAATACATCACATCACCTTTTTATGTACAGTAAAATACTTTTTTTCTTCATTTCATATTTTATTTCTTTAAAATTAGATATAATTTTATTGTTGTCATTCAAACCCCAGCTCATTAGTAGATAGTACTAACAAGCAATAAGCCACAGCTGTGGAGATACTGTAGGTTTTTATAGCTTATTTGACCAGAACTTCCTTGAATAAGAGACAATGTGTACCTTAGTGAAATTGTTTTAAAGAACATTCTGTGAGGAAAATTAGAAAGACATTCCAAAACTAACAACTTGATAAGGATTTGTTTTTCAAAGTGCTTCAAGAAGATTTTTGATCTTAATTTTTGCTCTATTTTTTTTAAACACACAAAATCAAAAATATGTATTTGTTATGGTTGAGGACCTGTGAAAGACCAAACCTTTTCAATGGTAAATGGGCTGAACTTATAAATCACTTTATCAAGTCTCCAAAGACTCCAAACCAGTTTACACTACAGATATTCACCCACTGATGGTGACAAGCAAGGCTGCCATACACCAGCATCACCAGACCCTCTGACCACCATCAGTTTTACTGTATATGATGGATGGATGGATGGATGGATGGATGGATGGATGGATGGATGGATGGATGGATGGATGGATGGATGGATGGATGGATGGATGGATGGATGGATGGNGGATGGATGGATGGATGGATGGATGGATGGATGGATGGATGGATGGATGGATGGATGGATGACTGAATTTCACTTCTTTCACGTCGTAGGGCCTGCAATAGTTTGACGGCATCAACTGATAAGAAGTGTCCAAACTAAAACTTGGACCTAAATGATTCAAGCTGAACTTGATATTGTTTAATAAAAACTGCACGAATCAGCAATAATTGTGCTGATAAAATAATTGACTGGAAAAAAACTGGGCAGATTTTATTCCATTTCTTTTATTGTCATTTTAAAGTAAGTTGTTGAGTAAAGAACCGACCAATGAGTCACGTATCATTTTTATGTGCAAAACATATTTGTTTTAATTGTCAGAGACGATTTGGTTAAGACAAAAAAAAAACAGTGTTTACATGAAACATATTAGAAAGCAGCAAAGCAAACAGAGCTCACAGTGCTTGACGTCAACTGGGGAAAATCTAAAAGATAAGAGCTGCATTTTACAGTGTTTTCTTTGGACAAAAATCTATATATATCCATAAAAATGTGTCCCTCAGATGTTCGTTCAATAATCACATCATTCATACAGACAAAATAAAACACTGAATACATTTATTTAAAAATTAAAATTGAATTAAAATTTTCTAAAAAAAAACAAAAAAAAGTGATTTTTTTTTTTAACATGCTGAAGACTTTGGCCTGACTGTGAAAATGTGGCTGAATAGGTGAGACGTCCGGTTGGAGGTTCATGCTAAAACTTCTGCTATGACTGTCATGGTACAATATATCATTGATGTCTACCTGCTCCACCCTGCTGAAATTGTACTGACTAGTTTCTGTAAAAAAAACAATTAAATACTTCATTTACAATTAAATATTGAATAAACCTCACTAAATAAAATGTAGGTGCTTTAATTCCTTTACGGGAAGCCAAGAGGTTCAAAACGTTTGTCATTACAATTAAGATTTGACCAGCAGAGGGCGCTGTTAGCACACAAAGCCTTGAGAAATTAACCTTTTTAAGACCAATTAGAAAGAAAGCTTCAATGATTCTGTAGGCTTCTTCTGACCATCACTATAGATTTGTTATTGTGTGCTTATTTTACTTCCATATATTTTTATTACATGTATCTCAGTCTAAATTTTTGTGCTATTGCAACAATTTGTTTATCAAGAGGATTCTGCTCCTTAAGGGCATGCAGGTTATGCCTTTTGTTACTTCAACATTTTATACTTTTTGAAATATTTAGCATTTTTTCTGATTGAAAATGAATGGAACTGTCTTCAACATCCTTAAAACCTCTTAAAATGTTCATAAGTCTTTACTGTACTTTTTGCCTTTTGTTCTGGTTCTGCTTTTTAAACTTCTCTGTGTTAATGTCAGCATTTTCAGCCTCTATTTTTTAGCTATCATTTTGAGATTTCTGCTATTCCTCTGCTTAAATGTTTTGTACATTTTTTCAGCTAATTAAAACATGTTATGCTTCTTTCAGCTGCTTTCTGTTAAATCCCTGAATGCAGCATGACTCACAGCCCACGTCGTTGCAGAAACTTTTATCAGCGCTGCAGCAGAGAAGAGATTCAGTCACTGGGAGAACTGGTGAGGAAAGTCAGGATAATGGATGAATGGAAACATGAACGTTTTGGGGGTTTTTTTTCTCACTTTTCCAATTAAATGCATCTCCATACTCTTCACCACAGTGTAGGAACCCTATAAATTGGGCATGCAAGCAGAAAGAGCCACACATAAAGTTTATTGTCATTGTTCTAGCTCACTCGATTTTTGATCCGTGTGCTGGTTTTTGTGTAGGTCAGTGAAACCTTTACTGATTAATTCTGACGCAGAGTCCAAGGGTGAGTGTAAAACAAGCTTCTGATGTCATGTAGATGCTGCAGAACTGTCGTTTGAAATACATGTCTGATCACATTCTGAAGCTGGATCATACTGCCTTTTTTTTCCACTGATACAAGCCTGGCCCTGATGTAGGCTTTATTTGACTATTGTGCTGATAAGGGATTGTGTCTGTTTGAACGTGCACTCATATTTCCTGCAAACATTTTTTGCGGACAAGCCCATAAATTTAAGGATAAAAAAAAAAACATGGAGAGATTATTATTCCTCCATAGGTTCGACAATGAAGCTTCAACATATCTAGTGGCAAAAGAAATTTAGTAAAAATCTTAGTTCTGCTTAGAAAACAGGACATAATAAGAGCAGATAAAAGTGTCACTGATATTCTGGGGGACCCATTGTGGAGAACATCTTGGAAAGTCACAAAAACTCAAAACGTTCGAAGTTTTATGTCAACAATAGATGAAGATATAACAATAAAAGAACTTCAAACTGTCATAAAACCATAGGATACCAGAGGACAATACATGCTTTGCCATGTTCCGACAGCATCCAGAAGAATCATTAAATATTGTGAAACCATTTAATAACATTTGGAGAGAAGGCACCATACCAAGAAATTGGGGAAAGAAAACATTTTGCCATTCAATAAACCAGGGAAAGATTCTACTGACCCAAATAATTACAGTCCAATAGCTTTACCATCCCATTTAGTATGTAAATGAATGGTGAAAGTAGTTAACAGAGTAGCTGAAACACAAAGATGTTGTAAGTAATGGTCAGTGTGGTTTCAGAACAGGTTGATGCCATTGTTATTTATGAATGTAATTAAGAGAAAACTTTAACAATAAAAGAGCTGATAATTATTGTATTCTTAGCCATCCAAATAACATATGGGCTGCTAATGTGGAAGATTGTATTACTGAAAAATAAGTTTCTTTAAACACAGAAATATAAGAGAGAAGGTTGGACAGGACTATTCAAAAGATTTTAAAGTGTAAGCGTGGAGAAGCACGTCACAGCGGAGAGCCGTTAACCAATATGCAAATTAGCCTGCAGTACCACTGCTCTACCCATATGKGCASCAAAAASACGTTTTTAGACCAYATYTTACAGATTTGYKCAAATACYCACAAAAACATCAAAATTAGCACAGAAACAGTACTATATAACATTTTAGACACATTCTAGACAGTTTATCAGCTAAAAAAAGTTAATTTTGGGGTAAGTTACTCTTTAAAGCAGAAAATGGTACAACACAAGGGAGTGTAACATTATAGTAGGAAACGTTTTCTAGATTAATTTTGTTTTTTGTTTATTATTTCCAACTTGTTATTTCTAGATTTTCATTCCAGTTCAGTAAAACCTATATAACCAGACAATAGTCACATACACACTGACTCAAGATTTGTAAACTTACTGCCCACAGTAGGTTCCATTCCCGGCTGTGAGGGGTGAGGGTGGGGCCTCTCTGTTGGTTGCACTGAGCTCAACAGTAACGAGATCTGAAACGAATCATTTAATGAAGTGATTGGAGTCAGTTTGTTCACTCAGATCATTTCTTCATTTGAACTATCATTTGTGAACGACACAACACTGTCCCACATGTCCCTCTTCACCGTATGCACCTCAAACTGGAATTCTCCAACCCTCCTCTGAAAGAAAGGAAATGTAAGAGTCATTTGACCTTTAGTTATTTACACATCGGTAAGATCCTCACCATACCTTCACAAGTCCTCTTGTTGATGCTGTTATTAAAAACATGTATTACCTTTACCCTGTGTCTGTGACTCATTTCAAATCCCAGAACATCAAATTCTGCTTGAAACTACAGCCTAATTTGGCAAAAACGACAGTGTTCAATGGAAGTGAAAACAAAGGCCCTGTTAAAATAACTCCGGGACACACGTGTTTTCCTCACAGTGGAACAATTCACTCCTGTAATATTTTCTCACA